TAATAACTACTCTCTCTCTCTCTCTCTCTCTCTCTCTCTCTCTCTCTCTACACACACACACACATGCATCAATCTGACACTGAAAGACTCCAATCTTAGCAAAACAGCAAAGCCTTGCATTACTTGGCAGCAACACAACACTGACTACAGCCATCAACAACAATACAACAGCAACAGAACCCAAGAAATCAAGAGAAAACAACAAGAGTGATGTAGAGAGGCAGTGCAAGAAAAAATACTAATAATAATAGAAGAAACACAAACAACAGAGCCAAGAAATCAACACAAAAAACAATAAGAGTGATGTAGTGAGGGAGTGGAAGAAAGAAATTGGAAGAGGAAACAAAAACAAATCTAAGAAACTTCTTCTCATGTCTCTCTGTTGTGTGTGTGAGTGATGCAAACTATTCACTCTTTTGCTTTACCTCACTCCTCTCTTCTCTTCTGTTAGGGGAGAGTAAGTATTGGAGGAGCACGAGTCCGGTGCTCCGCCAGGTAATGTAAACCCCCCAAGTGTTCTGGCGGAATTGGAGGGAGGGAAGACACGAGGCACGAGATCGAGACGGCGCCGACGAGATCCATGGTGGCCACCACCCCGGCCAACACCGCCGCCTCCCGGAACCGCCCTCCAAGCCCCAAGAACCCTCCTCCTCAGTACCGCGACGGTGCCGAGAACCCCCACCGCCTGCCGCTGGTCCGCTCCGAGAAGTACAATGCCGCCCCCAGGCGGCCTCCCTCCAAGGAGATCTCATCGCGCTACCTCCCCTCGAACGCCCCCTCTCCCTCTCCCTCTTCGTCCACGGCCACTTCGTACTCCACGCCCACGACGTTCTCTTCTTCCAGCTCTTCCTCGAGTTCGCGGCGCCTCCCTTCCCCTCCCGTGCGGCCGCGGCCCTCGACGCCGCCGGCCTTGCCCCAGTCCGTCGCCCAGAGGCGATCTCATTCCGTCGATCGCGCACGGCCTTTGACGCCGCGACGTGAACCCCGGCCCGCTCCGGTTGAACCCTCCTCTGCCGCTCGAGCCCTAAGCACGACCACCCGAAGCCTCTCGGTCTCATTCCAGGGGGAATCCTTCTTCTACCAGACCAGCCGCGCCAAGGCCGCCTCCCCTAGTCCAGCACGCAGGCCCAGCCCGGAACGCCGACGTGCCAGTGGCGTTTCCGCAACACCAGCGAGGACAGGAGATCACTCGGAGAACACTGTGCCCTTGGACAACCACCGCCTGTGGCCTGCCGCAAGTACTCGAGCGCCAAATCCGTTGACGAGGAGCTTGGATTGCTCGTTGGAGCACAAAGACCCAATCTTGCTCACCGTCCGGTTGCTGCAGCAGTCGATGGTGTTCAATGATGCCCCGGGGAAGGCTTCATACGATGGGGGCGATCTCTCTGCTTCCTCTGACACTGATAGCGTGTCATCAGGGGGCAATTCGGGGACGCCGGAGCTCGGCATGCCACCAAGGGCGAAGGTCACTCCTCAGGGAATCAGTGTGCCTGCGAGGTTTTGGCAGGAGACAAATAGCCGCCTTCACCAGCCGCCGGATTCGGGCTCGCTGCAGTCTTCAGGTACGAGGCACATGGTCCATCCGAAGCTTGGTTCGGTGAAGAAATTGTCAGTGGAAAGGACGTTATCGTCGTCTCCAAGGTCTATTTCTTCGCCACTCCATGGACCCATGAGACCTTCTTCTCCTGGTAAGCTCATGACTTCCCCATCAAGGGGAATGACTAGTCCTTTGAGGGCAAGGATTGGCACAACTGTGACTGTCTATCCAATCAGTCAGCCAGCTAATGCACCTTCAATCCTAAGCTTTGCTGCTGAAGTGAGGAGAGCAAAGAAAGGAGAGAACAGGATTGAAGAGGCACACATGTTGAGGGTATTTGATAATCGACACTTGCAATGGCGATTTGCTAATGCGAGGGCCACTGCAGCATTCCTGTTGCAGAAGGTGACTGCAGAGGTAATGTTGATTTCATAAAATGGTTCCAAGTTTGCTTTTTTTCGCACAATCTTGTAGTAGCTTGTATTGGATTTCCAATTTGTATTTTCTGATTGGATAATTTAGCTTACGGTTGATATATCCAGTAAGTTGTTATCTCCATCAAGTAACAGCTAAAATTTAAACACAAGCTTCGCCAATCATTTTGGTATATTATTTTCCTCAGTTCAATCTAACTTGTTTCCCTAGATCTTAAATTATGTCACCAAAGTTCCGTTTTGTTCACACAGCTGTCACCTTGCAAGATGTTTTAGACCGATTGATATATAATTACAAGCACTTTTTGATACTTGTACTAATTTATAATTGAAGATTAACTTCTCGAGAGAACTCTGGAACTTGTATAAGTTAAATGTTCTTGAATTTTAGCACCATTCATATTCTAAATGCACATCTTGCTTTAACTATTCTATCCAGATATTGCATTCCTTTTTAAATTTAGATCCTTCACGGTAGTGTGGAAAGATCTTGATAGGATGATGTTGTTTTTTATGCATTTAAGTACTAGATATAGTTTTAAAGGCCAGCAGAATGAACTTGGTGTAGTTTCCATGATGAGCTCTTTTGTCCTTCCCAGCTGACCCTTTAATTTTAAGCCATATGCATATATGAAGGCTCAAAATAGAGAACTCATGTATTCTATTTTTTTCCTTTCAGTGCCCTATAGATTTAGGTCTGTACTAAAAGAAAGATGCCAGCTGCACTGATATCACCTGGACCTCCCTGTACAATTAATTTGATTCACCTCATTAATCAGATAGGATTCTGAACTAGCTACTTAATTCCATGTGCTAGAGTTGTCTGTAATCAGCTATAATGTGAGAAATATTGTTTGGATGATGTGGTTGGTATTCATTGATGCAGTAAGAGTCTCTAGCCAAGAAATCCCCTAAAACAGTGTTCCTTTCGAAATAATAATATTATTTTGAATAATATCTTTTGTGAATAGCAATAGTGTTGCAAAGACTTCACAAAATCAAGTGATGATTTTGGCATGCTCAAATGTGTTTTTCAACTAAATTGAATTTAGTAAGAAGCCAAAATTAAATGAGAGTAGATGTGTAGATAGAATCTCTTCTTCATGTAGAGCAAGAAACTAGCCATCCTTATTCTTATTTGTCTCTCTTCTCTTCCTGCTCACTGTTTTGATCTCATTTATAATTGTCAAGCCTCAGGTACTTTTGCTAATGGTTTTCTTTTAATCTGTATCAGAAAACTATGTATGATGCATGGGTTACTACCTCAAAATTGCGTGATTCTGTTGCTTTTAAGAGGATCAAGCTACAACTTCTGACACAAAATTTAAAGCTAAATTCTGTTCTTGAGGGGCAAGTAAGTCGTCTCTCATCATTTCTTCTGTTCTCAATCAAATTTCGTTTAGTTATTTAATCAATTGGATTGATTTGGATCAGAATTATTTTTCATGTCACCGTCAAATATCAAGGACTGGAACCGTAAGGTTATATATTATTTGTTCTCGAATATACTGAAAAGTTTCTCTTAAGTGATGCTGAGAAATAAAGGGACACTGCAAGACATGAACATAAAATATTGAATATGTCATTTTGTATTCTGCATTTGTTTATAATTGATAAATTTTTAGAAGTTCTTTTTAAGAGAATGAATTCTTTTACTGACATATTTGGACAACTTATGAGATGTATGATGTTGAACAATGTAAAACTTGATTAATGCAGATGACCTATCTGGAAGAATGGTCTCTCATGGATAGGGACCATTCAAATGCATTATCTGGAGCTATTGAAGCACTAAAGGCTACAACACTCCGTCTTCCTGTTGTTGGTGGAGCCAAGGTTCGTGCTTCAAGATTTGCAGTATTACCATATGACTAATGATCTCTATACAAGTGCTTTTGGAATCACATAGCTGTGTTTTATATAAGTAGGCAGACATCCAGAAAGTGAAACATGCTGTTGGTTCGGCTGTGGAAGTGATGCAAACAATGGGATCCTCAGTATGCTCTCAGTTGTCGAAGGTGACATCCTTAATGACTTCCCATATTCAACCTGTCTCTTCTGTTGTTTTGTTTCTCAATTTAGCTTAGTTGATTTTGATATTCTATGATGTGCTTATACTTGTTTTAAAATCTCTCTTAGTGACATATAACTCACTTTATCTGTCTGTTTCATCATCTACCTTTTTGCAAGTAGCAGCATTCTTGAATAGTATAGGATAGAACATAATTTTTATTGCATTAGTAATTAACACACAAAAGGAACTGTATTTGCTTAGAAGATCCCTTCTTGATTAGCAAATATCTGTTTGCATGAGTTGACATATAAAGAATGACAATTAAAAATCAGTTCTCTTCACATTTCTCATTTTAACAATTCTATCATGAAAGCTTGATTTGTTTAAGAATTTGTTCTCTATATTCTTATTCAAGCTCTAAACCCATCATCATTTACAGGTACAAGAAATGAGTTCCATGATATCTGAAATTGCTAAAGTGGCTGCTGAAGAACGCCTATTACTTGATCAATCCAGAGACCTCTTGTCCACAGTCGCAGCTATGCATGTAAGTGCTGTGATGGACCTTTTTATTTTTTTCTCGTTTCCAGTTTCTTGAATTGTTTGTTGACACAAAAGTTCATGACAGGTCAAACAATGTAGCCTACAAAGTCATACGATACAAGTAAAACGAAAAGTCAGCCAAATGCAACTGTAGAGCAGATTTTCTTACAATCTTATTTGATCACTAACATCAAAGTAACCTCCTCAGTTTCTAACTGGAGATTATGCGAAGGTAACAATAATGACATTTGGGTTTTGTTGGGTGCAAAGCAAATGCAGGCATTCATCTTTCTAGGGCAGTTGATTCATGTAGTCTTTTGTATGCATATCACCACAGTGTTGCTATTTTTCCTTGCAGGAATTACCTTGCTGTGTATACAGATTATGTCTTCATATGCTAATCAAAGTGAAGCTTATGTATATATGTGTTTTGGCGCCTTCTTTTTTCTTTTTCTTTTCACAAAGTAAAAGAATAACTTGTTTCTTCATTTAAGACATTAGAAGGATGTTTACGTGTCAGAGCTGTTTACTAACTGTGAAAAGGAGCAATAATTTTTTGGTATTAGAAGTTTACCTATGAAAACTGTTTTCAGCTTAAGCAAAATGATGCTGGAATTCTAGGCCCTCTGTAGTCACGAATATTTCTTGATGCAATGACCTTGGCTAATTTGTTCTCATATTTCATCAAAGCAAAATTTCCTTTGCTCATTCTTCAGTTTATTTCTTATTTATGTACAATCATTGGCAACAAATGTCATATATATGTTCTCTTGAGGATGAAGTTGGCGAACAACATCACTACTTCACGATCACGATCTGGCCACCGAGGTTAACAGGTGCAGCTTGTATGTCCTGATATTTGTTCTGATGTTGAATGTAACATGGAATTCTTTTGAGGCCATATGTCTCTACCAGGCCTATCTTTAGGAATCTATGCACTTTCAACATCTTGCTGCTTTCCCAAGACTGAGATTCTTGGACAGATTGTGATTCAGTTGTTCCATTTCTCCTTTTTTTTGTTGACATGTTAGAATACTTTGGGAGGGTTCTTGCAAATACTAATTCAGTTGCCTGTGTTCTTTTTTTGTATAATCAACTAACAGTGCAGGAATATTTTGTGCATCATCATAGATGATGAAATAGTTGTTAGTCTTTAAACAATCTGATCTTCATGTTACCTACTACCTGATGCTTCTTTGGTGGCAAAATGTGCGAAGATTTCAAGTGTTATGATTGAGTTACAATAAGCAGCTGTGGGTACATTGCATCAGCAGATATCTAAGACCATCTCTCTTGTTATTGTTGTCCATAGAACTTTTACTTTGTTGCAGAAATCACATGGGACCAAATCTGAGCAATTCTTCATGACATGTTATATTGTGTGTCTCTTAATTAATGATGTGGCATGCATGACTTTCTAATGCTGGTAGTGAGTGCAATAGCATACATAATGTCATAAAATGTGTCTGCTCATTAACAACAAGGTATATTCAACAGGATAAACCATAGTCATCAGTGGTGCAGTCAAAATCATGTATGCTTTCAGGTACAGATCTTGTAACTGTGATATGATTTCGGATTTGCATTACAATTTGAGGTCTCTGAACAGGTAATCAACTTGTTAGTCCAACATCTTCATAGAACATTCAACTGATATTTTTTAATGTGAATGTTTAATGCTTGTATTTGTGTTGTTCTGAAAAAGACTGGAATGAATTATTGATATTTTTGAAGACCAAAGAAAAATAGCTAATAAAAGTGTAATTATTAGGTTTGGTATGCATTTCATAGACTGATAGATTTCGAGGTTTTGGACTGAAATCTTTCTATTGTTTTCTTAGTTTTATTTGAAGTGGTAACTAAAACGACCTTTTTTTATTATCATTAATTTGGTAGCCACCAAAAGAATGCCACAATATATTTATTTACTTACTTTATTAGACGAAAGTGGATTACACTGTACGAGATGCGGTCACCGCCGGTGCTCCCACCTCCCTCCCCATACGGAGGGATCGAGTCCATCCATTGCACAACAGAATATATATATATATATATAGTATGGCGAGCGTGCGCGCGTGCGAGCGCACTCGTGAAGCGGAAGTGCTTCCACTCAACCGAAGAGGTTGAGCAACGTCGGTGCGCCGCTGGCCGTCGCCACCGACCCCTCCGAGTTCGCTGGCGTCTCTTCGCTGGCGCCAGCGGCCGGCCTCGGAAACAACCACAGGTCCATGTCTCGAGGGAAGAAAGCGGAGGAGGAAGACGGGGACGCCGCGCTGCGCCGCTTGGGTTCGGACACTGGGGTCGGCGGGAAGCTGCCGGCGGTGGGATGGCTGGGAAGGGGGGCGAGGGCGTCGCCGTTGAGGACGGCGTTGACGGCGGCCTGGCAGAGATGCCAGTTGCCGGTACAGAGCAGCCCGACGGCGCCGCCCACGGGGTTGATGGTCCGGCCACACGCCTCGAAGAGCAGCGACTGGAACAGGGCTGCGACCGATCAACCGGAAGGGGTTTTGAGCCAAGAAGAGGTGGGGGAGGAGGAAGGAGGAGAGGGTGCGGGAGCAGAGGACGTACGAACCGGGGCGTTGGGAGTCGGGGACAGCGGAGAGGAGGGACATGAAGGCGGCGCGGCCGAAGAACCTGGCGACGAAGGCGGTGGCGTGGCCCTGCGCCTCCGCCGTGTCGATCCATCGGAGGCACGGCCGCAGCACGCACGCGCGGCTGCACCCCTTGCGCAGCACCCTGCACCCGTTGCAGCTCATCTCCTCCTCCTCCTCCTCCTCACTACCCCTCGCTCAACTCCGTGAGGGAGAATACGGCCGGCCATTTGTATCTAAGGCTGACATGCTCTGCTTTCCTCTGTCGGTATCATTGCATGGCTTCTTTGGAAGGGACAGCGATTCACATGAAAGTTGATCGCCACAGGGAACAAAGAACATTCACCTGTGAAAGAAGCCTCAGAGTTGACTTCCGCAAAGTTGATGATGACACAGTCAACCGTGCACCTCATTTTTTATCCTCTGTGTTGCTTTATTCTCTTGAATCGGGAATTTTGTTCCTAAAAGTCTATGTTAGCATCCTTCCAGCTTCATCAGACTAATGAAAATAATGTGCAGTTTATTGCTTTCATGCAAGTTTAGCTCCTCTCAAAGAAATAATCTTTGTAATCATTGAATTCATTTACTCGGATTATGAACTTGCGATGAGATCACTATGCACACTCGAGATTGAAGGAGTGCACGAACATAAGGATTTATAGGAGTAAGAAATCAAACCAGGCACTGAGATCCCGGACACAGCTATCTTCGTGACCTCCAGAGCCCATGATGACTCCATTCTTTTATTTCTTCTTCTTCCTCCTCCTCCTCCTCTCTCTCTCTCTCTAACAACGTAGAAATTAATATGTCTTCTTCTTCTCCTTTCTTTACTCTGTGGATCCACATGTTAATTACTGCTGCAATGCCTGATTCACTGAACGATGGAAGAAGGCTTTCATGGCGTGCAGCCTCTCTGCAGGACAAGGATCGGAATCTTTGATGCTTTGTCTCTCCCCCACAGCCTCGGTGTGTGGTGTTCTTGGGAATGTCGGGTGTCCCTCTCCACGACATGCCGACCTCTATCCGTATCTTCCTCTCCTCTTTCTTTTTATTCTCTTCATCTCATCCTCTGGTCTACAATACTTCCCACACGTCCCCTCCATTTCCAGATGATGGACTTCTTAATGACTTTCCTTAAACCTCATCTAAACTAAGCATCAGCTGATGACCCTTCGATCAATCATTCTCATCTTAAATCACCTCTCCTGTTTTCTATTGCATCATTGCATCTACCTTAGCTGTATCGCCCGATCCCCGTGCTATCGAGACTGTTAAATGCCTTGAATTATATATACCATGGAACCTTGCTAATGTGTCAGCAAGCTGTTCCAGCACTCCTCGTCTCCTCCGGATATGTTCATGGTGATGGAGGCCGAAGGAATGGCTTCGGAGCTGAACTGGAGCTCCTTCGATCCATCATTCTCCGTCGAGGAGACCGAGGAAGCCATGGCGCAACTCTTCGGTTCTCAGCACATGTTTTGGTCTGACTCCGATTACGATGGCTGCTACTCGAGCAACCCCGACATGGCTGTTACCTCGACACCGATGAATTCTAGCGTCGGGGGAGAGGGAAACGCCGCCCCATGGTTTCCTCTTGGTGCTTATGATCAACACGATCGACCGATCTCCGTGAACGAGGAAACCAGCAGAGATGAACTCGCCGATGCTGTCGTGAAACCTCTTCCTCCTCCTCCTCCTCCTCCTCCTGCTGATGCCTCACAAGGCACCAAGAGAAGGTTGCGTGGTGGTGATATCCAAATAGAAGTTTCTCGAAAGAAGTGGAAGAAGGCACAGAATAGTGCCGCCACTGCCGATGAGGAAGACAGCAGTGCTGACATTAATCCTCGGAGCTCCTATTGCTACGGCTCTGAGGATGACTCGAATGGTTCCCGGGAGCTGAAGGGAGCAGTCTCCATGAGCTCGAGCTCCAAAGGATCTGCAGCTCTGAATCCAAATCCTCAGAGCCTCTATGCAAAGGTAAACATCTGACTCGCATTTAATGTAAAGACTAAATTAATGTTCCTTTTTTTCCCTTCGCTTAATGCCGATCAATATGTTTCACAGAAGAGGAGAGAAAGGATCAATGAGAGGCTGAGAATTCTGCAAAACCTGGTGCCAAATGGAACAAAGGTAAGAAGAAACTGATCCTTTTTTGGCTTCGTTTCAATCAGTTTAATGCAGCTGACTAGAATCTCGTTACTCCCACAGGTAGACATCAGCACAATGCTTGAAGAGGCAGTTCAATATGTGAAGTTCTTGCAGCTCCAAATCAAGGTCAGCACTGATCTTCTACTCTTCTTTGGCTGTTTCATGAGATCTGAAACATTGATTTGTGCAGCTTTTGAGCTCTGATGAGATGTGGATGTATGCTCCCATTGCTTACAATGGCGTGAGTCTCGGGTTCGACCTAAAAGATCCCTCCATCGTCTCAGCAGAGGAGAATGACTCTGGGATATGATGGTGTTCCTACTCTTCGTTCTTGTCACAATTGTTTCATCTTTTCTTTCTTTGGCTCAGTTCTACATTGCAATGGCAATGTCTCGAGAGAAGGATTAATGGTTCGAATGACAAATCTCATTCCAGTGATGAGCAAAAAACAGTGCTGATGGACTGCACTAATAAATCTCAGCAGGAAATAATCTCATTAAAAGCTGCGTGTTTGCAAAGCCAGCAGCTTCAGAATTGTACTATGTGAGAAGCAATTCACAAATGAACAAAACAAGGAGGACAATTACAAAATCACAAAAGGATTGTATCATCTTTTGGTCTCGTTTGATTTGAACATTCCACATAGTCCAACTCTACAAAAAAGCAATAAGATTCATCCCAATGATGATGAGTTTGTGGTGTGAGAGTAGAGTGTTGTTGCAGCAGGCAGCTTCATTTTACAGAGATGGAGATCCTCTAATTTTGTTATGGTCAACTATGCCCCAATGGCAAAGGAACTAAATCAAGATATTATAATCTCGTTAAAAGTATTTAGGTAGACTAAGTCGGGATATTATAATCTCGCTCAAACTATTTTATGATAGTAGATCCATCTTAATTGTCATAAGCTCATTCAAATAATCTCTTAGAGACTAAATCAGGATATTACAGTTTGAGATAGAGATAGCATATACTGAAGTAGGTTGGTAATTCATCTTCATATTAAGACAGATTATGCTACTCTGATGGGTTTCATCCAACCAATGAGAAGACAGTAGTCTGCTGATATGGAATTTTTGACTTGCTCTGATACACTTTCTGCTGTTAAAAAGAGAAAAGTCAACTGAGCTTCATATCAAGTGTTTCACCAAGATTAGTGGATCTACCATCAATCATTGAGAGGGATGAAGACACAAGAAAAATTAGTTATCAGATTTCCATCGACAAGAATGTCATTTACATGTCAACTTTTACAAGATCATAATGACCAAAATAAAGATGGGAGGCCAGAGGGAGAAGAATTCTTCAAAGTGCTTTGCTCTTTATTCTTCTTGAAGGATGAAGTGGTCTCGTTTCCATTGCTGCAGACGTCACATGATTAACAAATGATCGGCATCGAAATGCATGAACGAAACATGACTTCTCATGTAATTCAATGGCAAGTAAATTTATTAACAAATGATCGACATCAAAATGCATGAACGAAGCATGACTTCTCATGTAATTCAATGGCAAGGATGAAGTGGTCTTAGTTTCTATAAATATAAGGTAAATTTATTACTGGTCCCCCACATTGATAGTGAGCAAGATTAAAATTAACTTATAAGGGTATGAGAGGATTATTGCTATCAACTTTAGCTTAAGTATTTTGGTCAATGATTTAGACCAAACAAAATTGATAAACTAATTATCCTACCAAGTCAGATCGTGACATTTGGTATCAGAATAGACTTAGCATTGAGCATGGTGAGGGAGCTCAAGTAGAAAAAGGTTACTCATGAATGGAGTCAAATGACTCATCACGACGTGGAGCCATCAGTGGGTTATGTCTCACATGCACCATATTAGGATTTGATCTAAGTTATGCAAAGCCTTAACAAGGACGTCAAGCTCTTAAGCGGAAGCGGAGGAGATCGTAACACCACAATTAATCCTATATCGAAAGTGAGAAAAACTATGATTGAATTATAAAGATCTAATGGGTGTATTACTATTAACTTTAGCTTAAGCATTTTGACAAGTGGTTTGGCCAAACAAAATTGATAGGCTAGTTATCTCATTTAGTCGACCTCTGCACCATCCTAGGGTTTGATCTGGACTGTACTGGACCTTGACGAGGACAACAACCCCTTAAGCGGAAGAGATTGTAACACCCCAATTGGTCCTGTATCGGGAGTGGGAAAAACTAAAATTGACTTATAGGACTTGAAATTTAGAAAGTCTTCATAGACTCAAGAATGTATCTTGAAATAAAAATAGAGGTGGACATTTAATAGAAATCCTAATTTCTTAATTAGATTAGAAGTAAGAATCGAATAAAGTTAATTAAATTAAAGTTAATGTACTGCCGTAATAACATAATAGATCTGCAGCAAACCATAAGCAAGCCAGAAATGAACATGCCTTAGCCAACTCGGAGATAACAACATTTTTATTACTTCATATAACCAGGCTAAACTACATGCAGATAAGGTTAGCTTTATTATAATTATGCAAGAATAAACAGTGCTTGAATGTCAAGCACCAGAATTCCATTTATAAGCTTGGTTTCAGAAGTTTATATAGCTGAAGAATTTGCTTTGCCAAATCAAATGCATATGGGCTTAAAGAGGACAGCTAAATCTCAAAACCATTGGAAAATCCTATGATGTTACAACTAAGGTAAACTAAAGAATCTATAAAATATCAGAAAATAAAGCATATTTTGGTGCTATCATACTAGAAATCCTGCGAAATTAAACTCACTTGTTTTCAACAAATTTTAGGAGATCAAGTCCTTCAAATGCATCGATGGCCCCGGACAAAGCTTTCTCTCTCGTAGATCCCCTACATCATGACATCAACAAGTTTAATTCAGCTGAACTCAGACTTTGAAAATCACAACAATACCAACTATAATCATAAAATGAAATGCTAGTACAAATAAACAGAAACATGGTAGCAAATGTCATGAGATTTTTGTGTCTAGTTTTGACAATCATTCTTGCAGCCACTTCCGTTGAAAAGAATATATATATATATTAGACGCTAAATTTTGGACGCAGTGGGAATAGAAAAACCGTATTGTATAGAAGAAATTTATTTGAGCGCATTGACAGAGAAATTAAATTTGCGTCACAAGAGAACAAACAAAGGAAGCATAAAGAAGAGGAAAAGGATTCATTTCGTAGAGAAATCCAATATACTTCTCTAGATCGAAGTCTTGCAAGTCCACGCATTCTGTCTCGTCATCATCCAGCGTTAGCTCCGAAAATCTCGTCGAGATGGAGCTCACGCTGCCAGTACAGCTGCTGTCAAACTGATGACTACCAGCCTTGCGCCGGTGACCTGCACGATCAATATCCCTATGAAACCCTTACTTTGTTCCGAGTATAACCTAATCCAAATTTAAGCAAATCAACATCCCAATTCGAATAAAAACCGCAGCTTTCACAAGCCCCCAACACGAGAATTCGATCCTTTCACAAAGTGACATTCAACGAGGTGAAAACTGAGCATCTAACACGGAATTTGCCAGATTCGCTTACCGTTTGCCATGGCGAAAGCCCTGAAACGTCAAAACCAAGCTTTCCAATCGGAACAGAAGCCGGGACAAGGCCAACAAGACAGCGGGAATCGAATGCCGAAGATAGCCGGGAGGCGAGATTCGCAAGAAGCACCTAAAGACGAAGGGGTCAGCTATATCGTAAAAGCGCAGAGCCATGTGAGGATCGAAGTAGCCCTATAGAGCGCAGAGCCCTCTCGTTTCCTCCTCCCGTTCGACTTCAGTTTGGAACGGGCGGAAGACCAAAGAAGCCCTAATTCTACTAATAGAAGTCCAATTGAAGTCAGCGACAACTTTCCGAGTCAACCCACCGCAAGTCGTGGCCCATTGATTTGGACTCGAAAACAAATAAAAGCGATAACATGGATCTAAATGCATATTTACGCTTCAGATTTGTTGGATGTATATCTAATTACGTATATTCCGAGGACTTATATAAAAATTTACATTTGCACTTGGGCCGAACCCAACACGGCCTAATATGAGCCACGACTAATTGAATAGATTGGACTAAGTTGGGCTCTACAAATGGGCCCATATTTAGTGGAACATTATATGATATTTCTTGAAGAACCAAAGCTTTTTTTTTTTTTGGGATAAATCACTCTTCATTGTTCGAAAGACAAAACATAACTTTAGTCTTTGATCATTCTATATTCTTGAAGAACTACTTAATTCAAGAAATGAAGGTCATTTCTAAAATGTTTCAGTATATAGATAGGTGGCCTCTTGGAACCCTAACAAGCTTTAGCTGGCAAACAATGGTGTGGGTAGAATAGATCCACCTAACAATGGCCTTCTTAAAGCCAGAAGATATGGAGTAGTCCTCCATTTCAATCTTTAGAGAGGCACGCAACAGCTCTTTTCCATGGCTTTATTGAGAGCTAAAGGAAACGATGCTACGTGCTACCTTTCTGTTTCACAGAGACATGCACACCTTGCTCTTTTCCAAGGAGCAGAAAGGACCCATGACATGGCACCCTTTGAAATGTAAGCACTTGCACCTCCTTTGTGGAATGGGAGTAGGAACCAGGAAGGTGAAGAAGAGGTAGGGTCTTCAAATCATCCATCTGTTCTTTCTTTACTAGCAGCATTCAAGAGGGTGAAAGGTTCTTTTGGTAACCATGAAGAAAAGGAGAGTGGCATTAGATCTGACATCCTCCACATGCTTGTGCAAATGGCACTCTCTCTCTCTCTCTCCTTGTGGAGGAACTGATTCCAAAGCAGACAATGACTGAAGGTCATTAATGCCAGCCTCATCATTAACGCACATACACATACACAGATGGTTTGATGGTGTCATGGCACTCTGCTGCTGCTAGATGGAGAGGCTACAACTGTAAACATCTTTTTCAGATAAGCCCTGGCACAGCTTCATGACAATGGATTAGTTGGCCTCAGAAAGACTGTCCTGCTCAATGTGTGCTTCCTGAATCATGCTACTGTTAGAAAGCAAAAAAATCCAACTTTGTTATCTTAAAAAGTTCCCTGGTGGCCATTTTGACTCCTTTCTGGGATTTTAGGTCAGATGGAGAAGGCCAAGTACATTTGTGGTGTTCTCATCATGAACCTTTTTCAGAAGAACCTGTCTTTACTGTGCTTTTGTACCTCAGATTTTTCTTTATACAACACATCATGTGTGCCTACCAAAATGTCCTCCATGGAAACTCTCTGCTGCTACCTTGGCATACACATGCTTTACAGGTGCAATGGAGTGACGAAATGAGGTATGTCCCTTGGGATTTCTTCGTAGAGTAAGAAACATGAGAGATGAACAGTTCCACTTCACTTCTCTGCTCAGGTCACTTGCAGCTTGCAACAGAAGCAGATGACAAAACAATGCTTCAACCAGGAGTTAACAAAGAACAAAGCAGTCAGGGCAAACCCCCTCAGGGCTCAGGCCATGAGACAAAAACTTGGATGGATGGTTGGCAACTTGGTCAGGCTTTGGATCTTGTGTAGCTTTCTGTCAATTTTCAGATTACCAGTTTGACTGTGTGCATTTTAATCAAAACTCCATTGAGATTCTTAATCTATTCTTCCTAGGTTAATGCCATCAACTTGGAGACAATCCTATAAGCCTAGATCAGATGCCATATCAACCAGGGATACATGCTGAGAGCTACAACATTTACAGGATGATTGGGCTTCCTGCTCTCTTCCTCAAGAGATTAATTTTATACTAATGAGGGAGGAGAGAATTTTTGGGCCATGCAGACAGAGTCAGAAGGATCAAGTAATATATTTGGCTATATTTCTCAACATTAAGATCCAAAGCATTATAGAACATAGCTTGTGATTGATTCTGAGGAGAAATGCTACTCTATTTTCCACATCAAGAAACATAGGTAGGGGAACAGATTTATGAGCATTAAAGAGTTGGTGATGGCAGTGGGTAGTCAGCAAAGTATAAGTAGCATCACTGGATGTAAGGAAAGATAAGATGTCACTCCTCCCTCCTTTAGATAATGTTCTGAGAATAGAGTCAATGATGAACTCAAACTGTTCTTCCTGGATCATATGGAAGATAAACTCCAAGTTGAAACCCTGGTTTAGGACTTCAATCAACATTTTGATGCCAACTCCAACCATTACTTGGGTGATCTCTTCACCAATTACCATGTGTTTGACCTACCTGCAATGCCTACATATTCACCATCCCATTTTAGGAAGAAATATTATATGGTCAATGGTCCCATCAAGCAAGATGGTACTTTCCACACCTTGCATTTGCTTAATGATTCCTTTTCTCTAACCCTTTTTTTTAATCTTTTATTGGACTATTATTGCTTTTGCCTCACTCTAACAATCTAAATATCAATTATTATTATTATTCATGGACAGTGAAGCTTTTTGAGAGAGAGAGAGTGTGTGTGAGGACTACAAGCAGGGAGAACAGCTTGCGGCCACCATATTCCACACTCCTGCACACATATGGGGGGATCCTTCAGAGGAACCTTTGTCTCTTCTCGTGTAACCACGAGAGCTCTACAAAGGCACTGCTTTTACTAGGCCATCTTTTAGGCTCGAAACCTCCTCCTCTATATCCTCCATCCAGGAAACAACTCTGACCTCCGGCATGGCTGATTCGGGCTACATGGTTTCTCTGTCTACTCTCATCTGCAAGGAACATGAAACATGCTTCGATGTGCAGGAAACTGAGGAGGAGGAGGAGGAGGAGAATGCAAAGGTGATGTTGTGTGAAGAGGACTCTGATGAATACGTAGAGATGCTGCTGAACAGAGAGAGCTGCTTCTGCAGCGCAACTCCTGATGCAGCAGCTGGAAACTCAGTTAACTCTGCTCGTTCTGATGCGGTTCGATGGATTCTCAGAGTTAGTCCGCGTTCCATCTGCGAAGCAAGTCATTTCGGTTTCTGTGTTCTTGATTCTTGTGTCTTTGCTGTGTGCTGATGCAGACGAAGGCCTTCTTTGGATTCAGCATGAAAACGGCGTACGTGGCGGTGATCTACTTGGATCATTTCTTCATGCATCGAACTCCCGATTCGATCGTAAGTGCTGCTTCGGATCTTCTTCCTCCTCTTTGTTTGGGTTGCCGATCCTTCTCGTTGATTAAGCTTGTTTGGGTGCATGGATTAGAAAGGCAAGAGCTGGGCCATTCGGTTGCTGTCGGTGGCTTGCTTATCTCTGGCCGTGAAGATGGAAGAACGCAAGGTTCCGGCGTTGTCGGAGTTCCAAACAGAAGACTACCGATTCGATACCGAAGCCATACAGAGGATGGAGCTGCTGGTTTTGGGTACATTGGAGTGGAGGATGAGCATGGTCACGCCTTTCTCCTATCTGAGCCACTTCGCATCCAAGCTCCAACAGCATGCATCGGAGGGCGTACTGTGGAAGGCCATTAAGCTCGTATTTGCAAGCATCGAAGGTCAGAGGCTGGCTAGACAGATTATTCTTGTTCTTTCTGTAGATCTTTAATGCCAAAGGAGTTCGAACGTTCGATCTTTTAGCGTCTTGTCATTGCTGTCGATGAATGCAGTAATGAATTTGGTGGATTATCGAGCTTCAGTTATAGCTGCTGCTGCAGTTCTTGCTGCATCGGATGAAGGATTAACTCAGAAGTCAGTGAAGTCCAAGATGAGTACCGTCTCATCATGCAGATCTTTGGACACCGTAAGTGCTAAAACCTTCTAGATTCTTTCGTCTCCAACCTTCAATATGAGGTGCCCAAATAATATGATGGACAATCTTGTGGCACAGGATCATGTCTTTTCCTGCTATAGTCTGTTGATTCAAGAGACACAAAAGGAGAAGCTGAAAACATCAAAGGGTTTGGCTCCTCCTGATCACTCGGTGGCTGATGGTTTGAGTGTCGACAGTTCGGTTGATACTGACGGAACCATCTCTTTTGTGGTTGCAAGCAGCAAGAGAAGAAGGTTGCAATAGTATTGGAATAGCAACTTGAGAACTCAGACTCAGGCAATGGTTTTTATGGTTGTCCATGAGGATTGATTTGATTCTCTTAGTAAACATATATATCGTATAGTTGATTGATGGTTTAGTTTGAAAAGGTTTGGATGTGTGGTGTTGAGAGGGTGTTTCACACACTCACTAGTTACTGGTGTAGAGAGAAGGGAAAGGAAGGAGAGAAGAGAGGTTAAAGCTACAGCTCAAAGTATAAAAAGACTGACTGAAGATAAAACAAAGAAAACTGAAAAAACAAGAAGGGATGAGTGTTACTGTGAATAGGGTGGCAAGCAGTGGAGTTGGTTCTCAGCTTCTTGTTCTTGATTTGAGGATCACTTCCCCATTATTCATTGTAATGTGGCTTTTCATTTTTGTTCTTCCGAATGCGAGGAGTGGAGATGCTGATTCTTTCAGTGGAGGGAGTCTGGTGCTTTGATTGTTTAAGAGATCCTGTAGCCATGCACTTTGGGTGGAGGTGCTTGGGATGCTTTCTTGATATCTTAAAGGCTGTGATCAGATGCACTTTTGCTGCATGCTGGCCAGATGAATGTGTAATGTGGGTGAAGGGTTTCTTTTTCTTTCCCCTACTTTTTTTTATCTTCTTTTGCAGTGAGCAAAGTATAATGTTGGATGAATTGTAATTGGGTTTGCTTGAATCATGGGAATGAATTTGGTACTGCATTCCATTGGTGCTCTGTGATGTTTCACAGGTCATATCTAAGTTTTGCTGTTGGAATCAGAATAATAAAACTGTTCAAAGATGGGCTAATATTGCTGCTATTCATGTAGATTTGTCTGTTGTACTGATCAAGATGCCCACTTCAAAAGCTTCTTATCCATATGATAAGTAAATTGATCCATGGAGCTCAACTTTGAGATCTAATGTTTCATATCATTCAGCAGCAGATAAGATAAAAGAGTTGGGTGGGGGTCAGTGATGAAGAAAGCCAAACTATATCCTCAGCTTCTACCACCTGCAGCTGTGGGTTTCTTTTCTTATGTAAGCATGCTGACCAGAGCAGCATGTGATGGTGCCATTATCTTTCACCTTCCTTCACTGAGGAACATGTGTGAGTCTCCCATCCTTGTCTCTCACCACTCTCTGATCTCAGATCAGATGGCTGGTGTTGCTGCAGTGGGGTTTCCTTGCTCCCTGATTGATGTAGATGCAGTCAAAAACAAAGCCTGGGACATGGTTTGGTAAAAATGAGTGGGCTGGCCCTGTCACAGCAGCAGCAGAAACGAAGGATTTAAAGAAATTGAAGTGTAGCTTCACCTGTGCAGCTGGAATTTACACAGCAAACTGCTCCCCTAAAGGAGAGGCTGCTGCATATGGTGGCCTGCCAACCTTTGCAAGCCAAGGATCTCTCTCTCTCTCTCTCTCTCTCTCCTCAGGAGCAGCAAGTAAACAAATCAATGTTACCAAACTCGATGTGAAAACAATGGCACATCCATCTTGACTTGGTCAAGAGAACACTTCTCCAGGTCCTGATGAATGATGCAGAGACATTTTGAGAGTGCAGAGGAAAAGACAGCAGCTGATCAGTTTACCATGAGGTAGAAAGTACATTAAGCCTTTGGTTTATCATTGTAAAAAAAAGGATTAGATAGAAGTAAAGAATTTACTGGTGGCAGTGATGATTGTGGTGTATACAGTGGCTTAGGACTTCTAGTATATGCAGTGATGATGAGTCTTGTCCTTTCCAAACAATGAATTCAGTGATATCTACTAGAAGACTTGAGCAGAAATTTTACTGTCTTGTTTTACCAATGAACATCTTTGGCCAACATCTGCCGCAACTAAAGAAACTTTCATGTAGCAAGATGCATAGGTACAAGGAAACCTCCTCTTCTTCTCGTGAACCTTGAACAAGACTAAAGCATCTATCCTTCCAACATAGCTCTGCAGTGTTGTCACACACATCTTGTTCGTTTCTGTTTTCTGCCTTTGCAATTCCTCTGTCACATGGATCAGATTTGTCTTAGCATGAAACTGAGATCACATGAAAGAAGTAACATCAAATTGACCATGTAACCACCCAAAGGAAACAGAACTGCACGAGCAAAATGTACTGACCTGTGTGTGGAGCAAAATGCAAGATCACCTCCTTGATCTTTGTTCTTTTTACTGCTTCCAACATGTGGGTAGCATAGAGGGAAGAACAAAGTAAAGAGTTCTGATCAAGAATATAATCATTCATTAGTATATTAATGTATTAGTTTTATTGGCAATGAATACAGGATCAAGTTGAAGTTAAGAGGAAATCACATTTGGAACTAATGTAGACTTGTTTGACCCATTATGGATCAGTGAACAAGAAGAGATCGATCTACTGGTCATTTCTTAACCAAAGAATAGGAATCTGCAGTTTAAAGATGGTTAGACCTCTGCATCTAGTCCTAGTCCAAATGATCTGAGTTCCATGGAAAACTCCCACAAACCATCACCAGTGATTTAAAATCCAATTTGCCATAGAATATTCTCATGGCTGGCTTCATATGTCCTTTTTCACAAACACCTGTATCAAGTCATGTAAAGAAGCCATTATAGCATAAAATCAATACCTTCTGCACCAGTTTGGCTTTTGGATTTTCAGATTGGAATATATCGGAATCCTTTTAACTGTGGCAGAAATGGGTATACCAATGGAATCCAATCAACATGCATACCACTCACTAGGAGAATGACAATGGTGTTGTATTTGTGAAATCTCCAAGAAATTTGACATTTATAGATTGTAATATGATGGTGCAATTAGTGACACACAATTACACAGCTATTCGATTACTATGCCCTGGAATGCATCTATCTTCTCCGTCTCTCTAGAGCTCATCGAATTGACGACCTGCACAAGAAGCTCTAGATATTACTTGAATTATATGCCTTTGCTAATGCACTGAGAAAAGACTTGCTGACTTCTAATCAGCAATTGATGTATATGAGCAAAAATTAAAATAATTATTCATAAACTAGATAAGTTGTACCAATCAATGGTCAGTGCACAGTTGTGTAGACGGTACAACATCAGAGTGTGCAGTAAAATAAGTAATTGCAGCTAAATGAAACTGGCTTAACAACTATCCAGACAAACATCCATATTTGGCTTTCTGAGAAAAAGTCAAGGGTTTAAATAAGTTCATCCAGATTATGAAGTTATATGTGCCTTTCTAATCTGATCCTGAGAAAGTGACATCAGTTGCCCAGAAAGAGTTCAGATAGATCTTTTTTCGCATATCCATATTATCCGCTATTGAAAAATCTCTGGAACAGTGTACGATAATATTCAAAGCACCTTGTACTCGCAGAGGAGTTTACATTACTTGTAAATATAGTGCAATAAAGTCTTCAACTGAAAATAATCATAGAATTTCCTATGTCTAAAATATCCACAATCATTAAAATATTAAGTTCTCTTAAAGAAACAGATTAAAAAATAAGTGAAAATTGTTGAAAGTCAGATCGCATTCTATTAAACCTGAAAAGGCAGAGTGGGAAGGAGAACATGATTCTTTCCCCCCAAGCAATAGAATCCATCATCCTTGTGAAGACAGATGGAAAACAAATGATTTGAAACATTTCGTTGAGTGGTTATATATAAACATTCTCCCTATTTATAAGTTATTGGAATGATTCAGAACATTTCTTAAAGCATTGATTTGTAAGCCATCCTTACATGGATGTGCCTGTTCAATTATTTCAGTTTCACAATACTGCAGTAAAAATATAATCCTTCATTAATCATTCATCATATCATTTACACAGTTAAAAAATAATGTGGAGCAATAAAGTTATAGGAGATCCGCATAAGCCATGAATTTATCTTTGAAAAGACAAAAGAATTGGGATATCATATCACAATTAACTGATTGAAGGCTTGTCCAGAAGTACCTCTACATTGCATTGCTTATATGATTGCCTTCCCTTCCAACCGGAGCTTGCTTCATTTACTCATCATTAGGAGGCCTAGTGGTTAATGCAAGTGCTCCAAGTTTGTCCATAACCAAGTTTACCCAAAGCAGCTGAACCACTCCGGTACGAGCATGTTCTAACATGAATGCGGCAAACCAGAGAGACTAATGAGGGATCAAGCTTTGAAAAACACAAGCATATGAATTATTCAGTATCATTAGAGGAGTAAACTTACCTGTTAACCATGCTGATAAAAAGTTTACAATTAGAGCAAAGTCAGCTGAAATTGTGCAAATTTCTGAATGCTAATATGTATACAGAAAACCCCCCTTTTTCCAAAGTCAAAATAGTTGAGATTTTTTCATCCATGATGATGACAACAATGGCAATCTTTTCTCCACCTGCATAATCACAGATTGATGAGAATAAGTATCTTTCTGTGTTTTTCTGAAACACTGCAGACACAATAAAGCAATAGTGGAGAATGTGGCATAAACAGGCCTAAGTTTCATTTAGGATACGCCTGGACTATTATCTAACATGAAGCTACCACAATAATAGCTAGTTACATAGATGATTGTAAACATAGAATTAGCAAACCTCAGAGTAGCATCATGGAACCAATAACAATATCACTTGCACAGCTTCATCATATTGATGTAAATGAGAGAATGCCAATCAAACTATGGAATATAACGGCTAAATTTACAGAAAAAATCTATGTTTTGGGAACACACATCAGTTAAATCATTTCATGTCTTCTTTACGAGGCATTTAAGCCATCAGAAAGAGGCTACTATAGTTTATTTCCCCTTTCCATGCAGAAGTAAAATGCTTTGGTGTTGCCATAAATCACCTCAGTTCCTGCAACACCTATTGCCAGTAATACAACGATAACTTCATCAAACATGGTGCGCGCAGATGCTTTGCCAAGGCATTCCCTGTTAATTTCATACACTGGAGAGTCAACCCATGGAATGTCAACCGAAGCAGTGCAGTAGATACCAAAAACCAACACCCGGCGACGACGCCGCACAGTTTCCGCCGTCGATGGACGGCCTTCTCCCACTAGTGGTTCTCCTCCACCCTACCGAAGTTACCCTTCATATAGCTAGCCATTCCCCAACTCCTCTTACCAAAAGCCGAACTTTTCTATAGCCCCTACTTCAAAGAGCTACCTTTAAAGACGCACTACCACCGGGGAGGAAGGGAACGAGATGGAGAGGTCTCGTCATCGTTCGACAGAGAGAAGAAGAACGGGGGAGGAAGACAGATCCGGGATATATCGAGGAACATAGCAGATTGCCTCTCCGTGTGTTCGACAAATCGAACGAAAACAGAGGCCAAGTCAGCGCTGACCGGGTGCCTATTAAACGACACTGTACCGATTCGAGAACCCAATCGAACCGAACCGAAGAATCCGGTTCAGGTTCCGGTTCGATCTATAAATCCGGCTTGCAAAATTACCAAGGTAAAGGTATCTGATCAGTTTCGACCGTTCCTCGTCTTCTTGCAGAAGAGGCGAGGATCGAGCGTGGGTTTCCTCCGACGCAGGAAGAATCTGCCGCAGGAAGAGTGAGAGTCGCGGAGGACGCAGGACCAGTGACAGTTGACGACCTTAGGCTGCTGCGGCGGCGGAAGACACTAGCATGGCTGGCTTTACTTTTGGACTGACCGATGGAGAAGTAGATGTGGAAGGCAGCGAGTACAGGTGAAGCGAAGCTCAATAATATGTCTAGCTGAGACCAGTATCCGTGGGAGGCGAGTGAGGCTTTACTGATCAGTGAAAGATAGGACTCTTAAGCATTGTTCCATCGTTGGCTCAGCTCAGCTAGAATTGATTCTTTCTTTGGTTGCCTACATATATTATTCCTTCTCAGCTAGATTGATCCAAACATGATTCCTAGGTTTGGACCAAGTTTTCTCTGCTCAGGGCATCCAAAGCAAAGGCACGTGGACTTTGTATTGATCAGGTAAAATCTGTATTTGCTCAAACACAGAGCAGTCATGGAGATTGCATACCAGACAGCTCAAGGTGTTTGATTAGAGCTGTGGCCGTATGCTCACTAAGTTTGTAGCTTGGAGAAGATGGCTCAGAGTGTAATTAACATGAACACACAGCGACTCAGCTCAGCTTGAGGGAAGAAACTGCCTGTGGCTCTTTCACCACAAACAGGGTCACTAATGTTAGATGGCTAAAAATCCACAGGTCCAAATCACTTGGTTTCTTCTTCCTTTGAGGTTTCTGAAAGATTTGATGTTATCAGATCAACATGTGATCGATTTCGGATGATAGCTGTTTCATGTCCTGACCCGCACCTCGATTGACTTCTGCAAACAAAACTGGAGATGGGACTGAGTGCTTCGCTATGTTCTGCTGGCTATGCCATTCAATACTATTCCATATTTTGCATTTGATAGCACGGTCTGTCTTCAGCACATCATTGCATCTTCCTCTCCATTTCCTAAGTTCATGCACCCAATTCAGCAATCATTAACTGCATGGACTTAGATTTAGCCAAGGTTTCATAGATAGAGATTGTCAGCCTTGTTCCATGCTGGGGCCAGGACAGCAAAGCTTGGAGATTTCCTTTTCATCCCACGACTTACAGAACCACGTTGCTTGCTCGTACTACTGAAAGATTTCTCTCGGTCCACATGCATATGGAGATGGTTAAAGTTCTTCAGACTTCATGATCTTTATGACTGCGTCACGGTTTCAGTGTGTTCATGAGACATAGGCCCAGTATCCTTGTTAAGGTGACTAGGAAGCCATTATGAAAGAACAAGGAAAAGATATCTTACCATTTAGCCATTGGGGAAGAGACTTTTCCTCCAAGGATCCAACACTGGGACACTCGGAACCCATTGATGCTTACTTTTAGTTTTCGTAAAGGACGAAGCAAAGAGAAGCTTATGTGGAAGATAAGGTCAATGAGTCATCAAACATCCGGCAACCAATGGCTGGTAGATATCTCTTTCTCTAACAATGGGAGGGTGATGAATGGGACCCAGAGATCATGATCATGAGAATATCGGCATGGCTGTCCATTTCTTGAAGACTTGCAGAGATTGGATTGCATTATCTTCAGGAGCACCTCATTCAAATCAAATGAGACCGAACTTCGCTAATTTGACCTCGCTGTGGTCACTACAGTTCATCTGTCGTTCTTCTGGGAAAAAGAGCTGGAAAGATCTTATCTGACATGCCATACCGATAAAAACATGTTTGATCTAAAGATCTGGGTTAGATTCAAGACTACCAAAGACAGTTGTCTCATGATCTAATGGAGTACACCGCCAAGATGCTATAAGAGGATGAAAACTATATCTGAACAAACAGAAATGTCCACTTGTCTCATGATCTGTTTGACCTTACTGCTTGTCATGTGTTGATTTCACAGGACATCTTACTATTTACTGCTCTGAGATGTATGCAAAACATGTTATGTGGATGGTACTTGATGTGATGACACAGCATGTTCTAGAAATTCCTCAATCAAACACTGCAGGGGTTACTTGTCATGCATTCAAGGTAGGAAAAGGATGTTTTCCTATCCTCTACACCCAGCAGCTGAGTCACCAAGCACTGCTGCTATATAGTAATGGTTGTCTGTTGTAAGGAGAAGAAGAAAGAGTGCCGCTGGGGCCTGACAAGAGTGAAACAGTTGCCCCGGGAATCTAGTCCATGTGACACACACCAACCAAAGTAGAAGAGGATAAGGACACAAACCAAAGAAGTACTAACTCTGTGGATGAAGATCTGAGTAGTTTTCAGATAAAAAGTTGGAGCAATTTATATATGGTTCAGGAAAACTGACATCTGATATCTTCTGAAATTTTGAAGGGTGGATTCGAGTTTCAATCAAAATCCACACTTGTTTATGGCTGTATTTCAAAAGATAAAGTTTTCTTGTTCGGTTGTAAGATTTCATACACAATTATTGTTCATCTGGGAATTTCCAGCTCCACTGTTCTTGAGATTATCAAGTTCTAAGGAATACCATTGAGCTGCTCAATTCCAAGTGTAGGTTAGGCAAGATCTCAGTGAAATCTCGGCATGGGGGTATCTCACTATTGTGTGCTAAAAAGCAAAGGATGGATGTGAAAAGATCTCCTGCATGAAATATTACCATGAAAAAAATGAAGATTTCATTGCAGCACTCTCGATGTTGTGAGTGTAAATATGAAAACTGTAGCACTGTAGGATGCATATGCTACTCTTGTCAAGAGATAAAGAGGAACAGGAAATCAGGTCCCGGTCAATCCCCATCAGTAGTTTGGGAGATAGATGAGGGAAGACACAATTGATCAAAGGTGAGGGTGGGGTTGGGTCTCCATTTTTTTCATGGGGAGAATTAGGTGGATGCGGCTACAAGATAACGAGGGACCAAAAGCAGCAGCACCACTACAATGGAGAGAGCAGGGACAGGCGGTGAATCAGATTCTTTGCCAATTAATCCACTTCTGTGACCAAAGACTGTGCTCTTCTGGCTTTTGTCAGAAACTGCGATTAGACTAGCAACAGTACCATCATCCCATGGCTACAGTATGATCAGTGAATGCAACTGCTAATGAGATGCAAAGCAGAAGAATGGTCTGTGAGTGTATTTGCCAGTTCGATGCATGGCAACAGCAAAATCTCTGACTGCATCTGCGAAGACGATGCAATGGGACTTGCTCTGCATCAGTTGCGTCGAGAAAGAAGGTCCACTCTATGCTTGATCGACAGTGGTTGACAAAAGATTTCTAGGCACGAATATAGTGTCTTAATTCTCCAAACATGCCTGGGAATAGGCAGAGCATTGAAGAGGCAATTCAGATCCGATGGCGAAAGGAAGGATTTGGGTTTGAATTTTTGGTCCCCTTGCATGACCTTAATGTTAATCCTCCTTCGAAGCTTTTGGATCAAAGATCCACTTTTCTTCAGCATCTACGTAGACAACACCACCCAAAGCACGAGAACCATGCATTCGCTCTACCTTCCACAACAACCACACGCAACCCTTCGAGGTCAAAGAACAGAGCCCCACCCGTTCCCCATCACAAATCGTCCTTTGACAGTGCTTGGAGGTGTCTGAATGAACGTTTGTCGGATAGGTAAATGTGTTCATGAGGTAAGCCATCGGTGAGAGAAAAGACCACACAACTCACTTCACCCCACCAGGCTACAAGAGTTGGGAACGGGGACTGACTGCATCGACGTCTGATCACAGGGCAATAGGACGAAGGACACTGTGATGCTCACCGTTTCTGCAACTGGTACCTCAAATTACACACGAGAACGAAGGATGCCACTTGGATGTTCTATCACTAGATATAAATAGAAGAAAGAGAGAGAGAGAGAGAGAGAGAGAGAGAGAGAGGAAGAGTACGGTGGGCCGGTAGATGGCGCACAGTGGGAAGGACAAAGATAAAGAAAGATATTGCGGTATGGATGACTCGTGGCCCCGCCTCCCCTCGGTAGGAAGATAACAGGGCAAGAGACAACGGTGGGATGGAAAGGATTGGAAGGCCCAGGAAGCAGGGGTAGGAGAAGGTGGAATACCTCTTCCTCTCTCCACCTCGCAAGCTATGTGTATCTATGTATATTTACATATCACGGGACTTGAGAAGCACATACACATATCAACTCATATATATATATAGATATATAGATATGCATATAGTAGCAAGTTCTCACCTTCTGCTCTCTAGTGTTTTTACTCTATTTAAGACGAGTAATATAGGGTGAGCGTCAGACATGGGGGGCAGCAGCATCGTTAACGCAGCAGCAGCGGCGGCGGCGGAGGCGGGAGGCGGTGGAAGAAGCAGCGGCAAGCTGCTGGAGTTGCTGAACGTGCGGGTGGTGGGTAGCGGGGAGCGGGTGGTGGTGCTGTCGCACGGCTTCGGCACGGATCAGTCGGCATGGAACCGCGTCCTCCCCTACTTCCAACGCGACTACCGCGTCGTCCTCTACGACTTGGTCTGCGCCGGCAGCGTCAACCCGGACCACTTCGACTTCCGTCGTTACACCACCCTCGACGCCTACGTCGACGACCTCCTAGACATCCTCGACGCCCTCCACATCGACCGCTGCTTCTTCGTCGGCCACTCCGTCTCCGCCATGATCGGCATCATAGCCGCCATCCGCCGCCCTGAGCTCTTCCTCAAGCTCATCCTCGTCGGCGCCTCCCCCAGGTATCTATATGAAGAACAACCCTGTCTCCCGGGGGCTGATCGACTTGGTACAGCAGTTTCTGGCGACTGATTTGGGTGAGGTGTTTGCTGTTCTTGTCTGGGATGCTGGGTAGGTTCCTGAATGATGGAGACTACCATGGGGGCTTCGAGAGGGAAGAGTTCGAGAAGGTATTCGCGGCGATGGAGGCGAACTACGAGGCGTGGGTGCAGGGGTTCGCGCCGCTGGCGGTGGGGGCGGACGTGCCGGCGGCGGTGCGGGAGTTCAGCCGGACGCTGTTCAACATGAGGCCGGACATCTCGCTGTTCGTGTCGCGGACGGTGGTAAACAGCGACCTGCGCGGGGTGCTGGGCCTCGTCCGCACCCCCTGCGTCGTCGTCCAGACCGCCAAGGACGTCTCCGTCCCCGCCTCCGTCGCCGCCTACCTCAAGGCCCACCTCGGCGGCCGCACCACCATCGAGCTCCTCCCCATCGAGGGCCACCTCCCCCACCTCAGCTCCCCCGCCGTCCTCGTCCAGGTCCTCCGCCGCGCCATCGCCTCCCACCGCTGATCACCATCACCACCAGCCACAGCAGGGCCCACCACCTCCGCTTCCGAGTCAAACTGGGTATGGCTGATGATACGTGGAGAATAAAATTTGGTCGGTCGTCCCTTTCGTCTTAGATGTATCCACAAGAGACATCCACGTGGAGGTCACGTGATCTCATCATCTTCCTCCTCCTCCTCCTCCTCCTCCTCTGCCCTTTGTATTTTCCCCAGTGTATCGTCCAATAGTAAAAAAGCTTTGGCAAATCGCTTGTTTGCTTTGGCCTATCCATTGTCTTGCGAGCAAAATGGATGTGTGTTGGGTGCACGCGTCAGTAAGCGGGGTCGTGATATTGATAGATGCAAAGTGGGAGGGTTGGATAGAACTGGAGTTATCTCTGGGTTTTTCTTCCCCGGCAAAGCAAAGCAAAAGCACCGACTGGAAAGCTACTCCAGGCTTCCATCAGTTTGTCATTGGTGCCTGTCGGAGGAGGATTAACTCGGGAGGAGGCAATCCAAGTGTGTTGGGTTTGGAGATAAGAAAGGGGACCAGAGACAGGTGTCACCCATATCCCGGTGGTAGGCCTGCTGTAGTGGTGCTTCTGCTGCTGTCTCGCACAAGTCAAGTCTTTAGTTGGATACATAAACAAATGGATGGGTGGAAGAATTGGGGGCTTAAAGAGCACAAACGATCCTATTCGGATAAGAATCCAGAGGTTTATTAATAATATAAATAAATGCTCTGTCTTTATAATGAAAATATTAATCGTTTAATCGAATGTCTCGGTCAATTTTGACTCGGTCAACTCTATCTATTTTTCATCTGTTAAAATCGATCACTGCCATCATTTGGCCGGTTCGGTCCGGTGAAACCCGTAGACGGTCCGACTCAACCGAGTCGCAGATAAAAATTGACTCCCAGCGCGGGCTGTCCATATAAACGGAAGACGAAGCCCGCGTCGGGCTTTCGGAGAAGCCGAGGCGAACGGGAGGGCGGCGCCGGAGGTCGCCAGATGCTTCCCTCCTGATGGCAGACGCCTCCACTTTCGGCCCAGGTGCCCCCTCATCTCCCTCTTAAGTTGTAGCTGCATGCTGTAATTGGCGTTCTTGAGCCCTATTTGACTAGAAATTCCACAGGCAGATGAATAAAATGCGTGATTGAGGAAGGAGAACCGATCCGGCATATATTGTCGCCCTCTTGTAGTTTCAGAACTTTGAACAAAGTTCTAGGGTTGTTCATGGGCATCCGAATTGGTGACCGATGAAAGAAATGGATTGGGTTCTTCAACTTTTTCTTCCGTGCTGGATTTTGATTTTAGGGTTACACTAGTAACAGATTCCTAAGCGTCTTACTGTGGGTGTTAATATATAGAGATTATTCATGGTTGAAGGAGGGGAATATTTGAGCTGATGTAATCTGCCATACTCAGAATATTGTAGAAAATTTAGATTTAAAAAAAAAAAGAAAAAAACTAAGAAGAAACTTTCAGTACTTTAAAGAGAGACCTCTCACTCGTGCAATAATGCACTGACCACTAGAGACGAAAGTTTGTATATTTGTTTTCTCCTCCTTTAGTAAAATTACATCTTTTGGAGCTTAGGAATTGACCTCCACCACTTTATTGTGTATGATGCTAACGCATTATGAGGTTCATTTATCTCATGCTTGTCATCTTGCAATTGGATTCCGGAGCATTGTTATATTAATTAGTGGATATCTTTCTACGGTTGGCTTTTTATTTTAGCTTTTCCAATCATCTCATTTTATTGTTCCTCTGAAAGCTATGTGGTGATGTTAACTTTTGATGATTGTCTGTATTTTTTTTTTCCTTTTGGGTAGTGATTGTTTTTGTTGGAGACTTTTGGTCAGACTGCACATATTTCCATTTGAAACTAAACCTTGTCTTCGTTTTTCTTTTGTGTTCTATTTGATGCTACTGAGCATTTTGCGTGATTAAAAGGTTACTAAGAACTGTGATTTGCAATCTATATTTCTAAACTTAAGAATTAATATATAGCTTTTTGGTGGTGGGAAAGGTTCTAGATTTTTTAGCAGCCTTTGTCACGGCAGACTTCTTAAGTATTAGCCAGTGAAGTATACGACTGTGTTATTTTTATTCTCTGTACTGTAGGTTGGCCTCCACGCCTAGAAATCTATATAATAAATGTCTCTTCTCTGGTAGCTTTAGTCCAGCAACATATAAACTTGTCTTTATATGAACGTGACCTTTCATTGATGTGTGTCTTAAAGAAGCCACTCCTTAAAGATTGTTATCTCCTTAAAAAAAAGTTGCTTTTTGTATGCTTTCAATCATAAACTTAAGATTTTAACATAGTTTATTTAGATTTGCATATGAACTAGTGATTTAAAAAACGTTAGGTGCCAAACGGTGCCGATGTCCCAAAACGCCTAAAGCACTAAGCGCTCGCCTGAGCGAAGCGAGACACTCTAAAATACTAAAATATAAAAATATATTATATTATTAATCTAATAAATAAAGATTATTTTGTATAGTAATTAATAATCTATTGTTAATAGTATATTTACTGTTAATAGCAGTTAGAAGGGAAGAGTAGAAACTGATAGTGAGAAGTCGCGGTGAGAAGTTAGCGGATAATAGTTGCGGCAGCAGCAGTAGAGTCGCGAATAGCAGGAGGCAGCAGACAGTAGTGGAAGCTGCGGAGTTGCGGACAGTAGGAGGCAACAGACAGTAGCAACGGCGGCGGCAACGAAATCGCGGACAGCAGGAGGCAGCAGAGTCGCGTCATGGACAGCAGCGGTGGTGGCAACGAAATAGTGGACAACATGAGGCAGTAGAGTCGTGTCATGGACAGCAGCAGGCAGTGGACAACGATAGCGAACAACATCGGAAGTTGAGGAGACTCGGTCGGCGATAGAGGAAGACTCGGAGGCAATAGGAGAAATCGTCGGCGATGAACGCAGAGGGAGAAATTGTCGGCGGCGAACGTAGAGGGAAAAAGCGTATGGTTGAGAGTCGGGGTCGCATGTAGGTTTTGATATAACTGCATGCGTTAGTTAGTTTAATCGAACCAACTAATGCAAATTTAATCGAACCATACTTAAAAAGTCTAGTTTGATCGCCTTATATGAACCGGGCGCTCGCCCTAAGCTCCCAAGCGGCGCCTTGCACTGCCTGGCCCTTAAACAAGGCGCTCGAGCCTTGCCTCGCCTCACCCGAGCACCGAGGCTAGCGTCCAAGCACCTTTTTAAATCACCGATGTGAACATATGTCAACATTTGTCTTCTTAATGGCCTGGCTCTTTTGGAGTTAAGAGCTAGGTGGCTCTTGACCACTGGGATAAGGCTTAGGGTTTATGGCCCTCTTAGCTTCTAAAGTCGGCTATTTTCCTTTGTATTACTATTTTCATAGGTGACTACATTATGTTGATACAAGTACTGTAGTCCTAGTGATCTGTAGAAGACAGTGTACCTTATTTGAAAGTTTTGGTGTTTGCTTACTGTGTAATGTATGTTTTCTTTTGTTAAGGGTGATCAGTTAGTCCGACTTGTCCAGGTAAAATAAGCATGAGCAATTGTTGCAGTAGCTTATCCCATGACTGGGCTCATCTTCTTACATGTTGCTTTAGCATGTGCATTTGTCTCGTCCACAGGACACATTTTTTAGACTGAACCGCATTCCTAATCCTATTGTGATCGACATGGGTGATGGGTTATACTGGTCTGAGTGGGCCAACTCAACCAACCCTTGCTGTATTGGAACAGCAGAAATACCTTCAACTCATTCATGCATGAGCAAACATAAGCAGGTGATTTTTCTTATATTTCTATTATTCATTTATTTTAGCACTGTCTCAGTCCTCAATCAGATGTTGCATACGATCTATGTCTGTTTTTGTCAGAAAAGAGCTGGGAGGAAAAGGAACTTGCATCTCATTACGTTTTGATGTTGTTGGTCCTACTTATATAGTTCATTGCATACGTAGGTGCATCCTTGTTCGGACCCCTTCCTTCCATTACGTAAATAATCTATATATCAATCAAGGCTATCTATGCAGCATGATGAATGTAGCAGTGCTGGGCATGGTGGTCGAAGCTCCAGTTGTAGAGCCACTGATAATTAAACTTTTGATGAGAGAGAAATAGTTGATGCTATATTTTGGAATGACTTCAGTTGTGCTTTGATAAACATGACAAGGGGGTAGATAGATGTTTTCAAAGAAATTAAATGCATGATGGAAGCAACATGAGGGTCAGGGAAAGATACAGTGGAAGATATGGTCAGAAAATGGAGGCAGATGGACAAAGTGGCTGCGAAGTAGAAAAATGCAAGATCTTTTCTGACGAAGCCGATAGAAGACGAACTCCAAAGAACGAAGAACTGAGAGCAAAGATTTCATATCAGTGCTTCTGATCGGTAGATCTATAACCTGTTCTGCTGCTGCTGAACAAAATCTTTATAGATCTGTGAGACTATATAAATTCATTACATAAAGAAGGATGATTTCTATAGGGTTTGTCTTTCACGTTTTTTCTCTTATACGTTAATGGGAAGTAATATGCTTCTTATTAAGTTGATAATAATAATAATGTATTGGCCTATTAGCTCAGTTGGTTAGAGCGTCGTGCTAATAACGCGAAGGTCGCAGGTTCGAGACCTGCATGGGCCATAATTTTTTTAATTTTTATAGTAATTAAATTAGTTTTTTTTATTCAAAAGTTAGGCTATAAATTTATTTTTTATTTAAATTAATGTAATTAAAAATTCAATCATTAATCTTAGTTAAATATTTACTGGAATTAGAGTAATTTTAATTTTAGTTTTTCTAATTTTAATCCTACCCTTTCAATCTTTGCTGAATTTGTGCACTGGGCTGTTCAATTTAGCCTCGCTTTGATGTTTTAAGGTTTTTATATACTTAAATGCTAATTTTTCTTCTATGTTAATTAATTTAGCTTAAATTTATCTTTCTTTTTTAACCTTTTGGTTTATTAGTTTCAGACACTATCTTGTTTAATTAGGAAAAAAACAGACGCTTCAGAAATAAATGTAAAATGGAAGAATTTATTTACTGTTAACAACATACTCATTGTTTGTTTCTCTTAATTAGCTTTTACAGAGCTCATTCACTAGACGTACTTATCGAATCCTATCCTCCAATCACATTTCTCACATTAAATGCCCGCTATATGTATTCTCTAATTCCATACGACGCCGCACACGAATTTAATCCCTCAGTAAACCACAACGTTGGCGGCTGGCGAGGACAATGGATCGTAGCCATCCAAAAACAAAGAGCGCCGTGAATCGATCCTCAACCCGATGCAGTTCTCACGAAATCCATAAACAAAGAGCGCCGCGCCGGCTGATGAGAAAAAAAATGATGTTTATGTGATACTTGGATTGAAAAATGGGCACGCGCACGCATGCATGCATGCATGCACATATCCTCCATCTGCGGAACCACACAAAATGACGTCTCTTCTGCCTCCTTGGCGGACAAGGAAGAGCCCACCATGTCGCCTCACATGACACAGATTCCATACTCGATAAGATATACACTGGTGTCGGCTATGTGCACATCATTACTGTGGTAATGGCAGCGGCCGCCATAAATTATCAATCCCCCACTTCCCCATTTATTATTATTTTTTAATAATATTTACTAATTTTTTATCATCACCAAAATAAACATAAAATACAAATAAGATTAATTTTTTTCAAAATGATCATGTTATTCTTATCAATCATTGTCTTTCATCGACCACGCCTCATCCGCTTGACACTTGATAATCTCACATATCAATCCTCGTTCGTTCGTTGTCGATTGCCTCACTCTTCTCCCTCGATCGCTTATATCTTCGCGCATAAGTTGACAATATCGATCCTCCCTTATCTTCTCCTCCCCTCATCGTGTCTCCGCAAGTGTGCTAGCTCCACTAACCACTCTCCTCTCCTCTCTTAGTTGTTTGTACCTTCGTCCGAAAGCTAGCAACACCAATCACTTATGCCTCTACACGGGGTTTACAATTGATCACAGCGAGTATCGATGAGTGAAGGAGAGCTGACGAACTGAGCGACTAAGTACGATAAAATTTTTTCAAAGTTATAAGACCAAAATGATCTTTTTAGACAATCAAATCAAAGGATATTCTGCAGAGATTTTCAAACTTGGGGATGCTACACAAGAAAAAAAAACTAAAATTAAGAAAATTTTCTTGCCCAAGCAACAAAACAAAAGGCCCTTTTTTTTAAATTGCTTTAAGAAATGTACACTCACTTGCAGCCACACACTTACATGGGGTCCACGACAGGCCTCGTGATCTCGCCACGTACCGACTAGTGGTGTGAGTTGCCGGCCGTCCGTCGTTGGCGCAACAATTCGATCAACGCCTCCGCCTGCTTTGTTTGGATTTATTTTAGTTATTATTCCAATTTTTAGGGGAATAGATATACAATATTTGAATAAAGAATGGGCGGGGCTGACGTCGGCGAGACACGCCGGCGTTGGAGGTGGGAGCGGGAGCACAAGAGCGAAAGGGGGCGGTGAGGTTACCTTCTCCTTGGCCTTCTTGGTGGCGGACTGGGAGAGGGCGACGAGAGGGGGGATGGCGCCTTCCTGGACAACCATCTTGCGGTAGGCGGCGCTCTCCCGGCAGATCTCGAGGAGGGATCGGACGGCGATCTCCTTCTGCCGCGCCGTGCCCGTCTCCACCATCTCCACCAGCACCGGGATGCCGCACTCCTCCACCGCCGCGGCCCGGCCCTCCGGCACCTCCACCACCGCGTGCAGCACGTAGGCCGCCTTGTCCACCATGCCCGACTCGGGATCCGCCATCAGGTCCAGCAGCGGCCTTACGATGCCGGCCTCGACTGCCCGGATCTTGTTGTCGCGGGAGGCGAGAAGGGTGAAGAGGGCGGTAGCGGCGTCCTTTTTCCCGCGGGGGCCGCCGGTCTCGAGGAGGGTAACCAGTGGCGGGATGGCGCCGGAGCGACCGATGGCGGCGCGGAGGTCGTCGAGCTGGGCGAGGCGAAGGAGGGCGCAGGCGGCGTTCTCGCGGGCGGCGGGGGTGCCGGTGCGGAGGGCGTGGACGAGGGGGCGGATGGCGCCGGCGGCGGCGATCAGGGTCTTGTTCTCGTCGCAGAGGGAGATGTTCAGTATGGCGGTGACGCCGTGCTCCTGCAGCTGAGGGTCCGAGTGGTAGAGCAGCGCGACGAGGGGGCCGACCGCGCCGGCGGCGGCCATGCGCAGCCGGTTCTCCGGATTGTGCTTCGCGAGGAGGCGAAGCTCCATGGCGGCGCGGCGCTGGGACTCGACGGGGGCGGAGGGCGACTCAAGGTCGGAGATGAGCCCCCGCACCACCTCGTCGGAGTATTCAGCGGAACAAGCGACGAGAAGTCGCTGGAGGCCACCGCCCCCGGAGGAATAAGACGACGAGCTGGGTGATCCGTAGGAGGGGAACTCGCCGGAGCGGTCGCTGTTGCAGTCGCTGAAGGCGCCGGAAGAGTCGCCTCCGTCGCTGTAGCTCCGTTCCATGTACCGATAGCTCGACGGGATCTCCATTTCCATCTCGATCAGATTCGATTCGTCCTCTTCTCGATCCAATTCGATCGAAGACCAGCGGAAGGAACCCCCGAGGGTTTTCGTGGAAGGATGCCTTGCCCCCGAAAGAGGCAAGACGCGGAAGGGGGAGGCCACTAGCCAATGAAGATCACGTGCGAAGCACGTGAGTATAACTCAGTAGCGGCTTTCCCTCTCGATGCCGCGCGTCGTCGGTTTAGGGTCACCGCTACGGTGAGAAGACCGCAACAGAGAGCCCGGCCTCACAGTGAGAAGGTACTCTCACCCCCCTCTTTCGTTCAGCATTTGATGCGTACCATTTCTTCTAGCTTCGATTCATGTTTCTTAATCCTTAGTGATGCCGATTTAAAGTTGGAATAGGTTTTTGTTGTTCATCTTATCAATCACCATATGAAAATAGCTCTGTTGTTTCTGAAAGCAATGCGTTTTCTTTTCTTGTTTTAAGAAATGCTTCGCTCTGTCTCTCTGTCTCTGTCTCTGTCTCTGACAAGAAGAGATTTAGCACGCTGGCTGTGACAAATTCTGCAGTATATCATATGCACTTCACATGCACATCCAGTAAACTAATTGGTGAACATATGACATGTCGCAGGACACACCCGAGTCTCTGTCGAGAAGAAATGGATCACAAATCTCGAGAAATTATTGGGCGATGATTCGGGCTCGTCCACCCACACACACATTTGGTGTGATGTCAAGCGGTGGCATCGCCGTCGCATTTAAGCTCCGAAAGTGGAGTTTGTCAGCTTCTTCCTGACTTTGGCTCTCATGCTTGGTGGCAGGGCCTCGGACAAGCCTCTGCCATGGTCCTTGGACTCGTGCAATCACTGTAGAAGAAGCAAAGCAAGCAGATAGTTTAGATCTTGTGTTCGCCGTAGAAGGAACCAAGACACTGTGGTAGAATGTGATCAGGGCAAATGCTTTAGAGACAAGTGGCTGGTCTTACGCTTACATGTCTGCTGGTTATGCATAGAATTCTTTACGTGAGATGATTTAGAACAATGACTCGAGACTGGAACTGAAAGCTAAATTGCAGGTCCTGATGCAAAGATACAAGCTGGATTATGACATGAAAGAGGAGATGGACTTGAGGATTGGGTTCCATCCCGGCCAATCTAATCTTGTTCTCTAAAATATCAAATGCCAGAGTTCTTCTAAAGCAATTAAGAGGAGATTTGATATTTCCTAAGTCTTACCTTAGAAGAGAATTTATGAAATTGATCTTATTTACCATTTGATTATTTTTTATCCTGTAAAATGAGTTAGAGAACAACAAAACAAACATACATACATACAAAATTCTTTTTTCATCTCCGTCTATCTTTTCGAATTCTTCTTTCGATTTTCTCATAATCTTCTTTCGTAGCATCATACCATGTCATGAGTTTGAATCTTATATCTCTCTCTCTTTCGAGTGTTTAATAAAATTATCGGTTTCATCGATACATCAAACCTAACTGGTTTGCTCATGATAGAAAATATCAAAACATATATCAGATGTTTTCCTAGCAGCCTAAAGGTCTGGAATGGTGAGACGAGGCAACAAACACTTTTAGTCCTTCACTGATTAGGGGGTAGAAAGTCAGATCAATGAACAGATCACGTTGTCTAAGAATTTCTAGGTTGCTGCATTGGCCCTTTACTCTTCATCACGACAAGTTCGATGGACTTCAGCAATAATTCCTGACGTACTCTGCAAGACACCACTAACTTGTCGTCCGGGTTGTATCAGTTGATAATGAATGATGAGCGAGTGAATCGGAGAACGTCATCGAACCCAGTCACATCGTATGAGGGAGTGAAGAAGACAAAGAGGAGCAGCAGCCAAGTCGTCACTCGCAACGGAGGGTGAAGTCTCGCACTCTTTTGCGACGCTGCACTCCAACTTCACCTAACTCGCCATCCTACGGGCTTTCTGTGGTTAAAAGAAATCACACGTCGTGACCAGCGATAGACGCCGACTACTCCCTCTGGCATCACCACCCTTATGGACCCTGATAGGGAAAATAATGGCCGGGTGACACGCCGTGACGACAGCCCCTGGAAGAGCAATAACGCTGACTAGACCCGCCCTGACAACCCCCGTCGTTGAACAACGACCTCCGACCCCGCGGGGTTGACCACGACAAGGCAGGACAAGGACCTGCCCCCCGCCCATACCCTGCCACGAACCACTCCACCACACGACCCCAGCGGCCGCGTCAGACGCCATCAGAGGTACCACCTCATTCCAGCAGGCGGTCAAGTCAGGTAATGCTAACCTCCCCTATAAATACCCCTAAGTCCTAAACAAAAGGGGGGGAACTCACTCAGACACTCTCAACTCACTCAATACTTGAGGTTTCTCCTCCTCCCAAAACCCCCTCCACATCTTTCGCTAACTTGATCGTCGGAGGGGTCGGGGCAAGCA